AAAAAAAAAAAAAAAAAAAAAAAAAAAAAAAAAGAGGTGGTTCGTGTTATGTACTAGGGAACTTTTTTTTTTTTTGTCCTTTTTGAGACCGGCCACACCGCGCTCAGCCAGTGAGCGCACCGGCCATCCCTATATAGGCTCGGCCCCTACTAGGGAACTTTTAATAGCAATTAAAGTCTCATGAGAAAGTAGGATGCTAGCCAGTATTTGATGATATCACAACAAATTTATTCTTTCAAAACACTGGAAACTGTGACCTCATGGTGCAGTGGTAGTGCGTCTGAATCCAAAAGACCGGAAACTGCTTTTCTCGTTTGTCAACTCTGATCAAGGGAAGAATTTTGTCTTCAGTAATCTGTGTCTCTAGTCTCATTTGCTCTTCATCCTCTCTAACATCAACAGTGGCCAAGTACCAAGTCCACAAGTGGCAAATAATAAAGTATTGCCACACATTAAGTAGAAACATGTACACCAAATTTTACTATGCGTATTAATAAATACTCTTTATTTTAAATTTTGCACATTGCGCTTTAACATTACATCCAAACATTTCGCAAGTGGATGTCTACTTTGTAAAACCATATATTCAGCTCATTGTCATTTCTGTACAGAAGTGTAAGTACAACATTACTTTTGCCACTAAGTTGCTTTAGTAAGTCTCACAGGAAGAGAAACATTTAATGAAAAGAGATGGCTTAAATCATATGGCAGGCCTGCGCAGCCACACAACTAAAGACACAAGCCTGAAGAAATAACAAACTAATGAGGTTACCTCCACCGTCTCCCAAAACAAGAAAGAATCACATTGATTTAAGATAAAATTTTGCCATAAGTCACTAAATTAAGAGGTTTTTTTTGAAAGAGAAGGCGCAGTAGTCATCTTGAGTGTTTCATTAAAAGACAGAGCTATTTTATTTATTTAATTTGCTCCAGCTGTTGTCAACCAGCCACTACAAATGGGCCTTTTGTGATCATTTAAGCGGCAGTATTTGTTAAATTTCTCCTTCAGATGCTGTCGGTATTGTTCTCTATTGCTGTAGAAAGACTGGTTATTAGCCATAAATGACTGTATTTCATCTTGAGAGATAAAGATTTCCTCATCTGAAGTACATTCAGACTCATCCTGTAAATTAAAGCAGTAGTTAAGACTATGTCTTAAGAATGCAAAATGCTATGCTGATGTAAGACAGCTAGAAATGAACACAGTCTAGCTTTTTAGTTTCAATTCAGTTACATAAAGCCTTTAGTTGGAGTGTTTACAGAATAAGCATCATGTCACTCTATCTTAGAAAGTAAAGTAATAAGTGAGAATGAAATCCAACTCAACTTGGTTTAAACCTCTAAATCTATCATTTATCCTAAAAGCCTATGAGCCTAGCAGACTACTACCATACCTTTTAAGAAAATGGTTACAACTAGTTACCAAATTTTAAATAACCAGATTTATCTCTACCTGGTCCCATGTTGAAACATTTATCTCTACAAAGTAAGTAAATCTTTTTTTTACTTAAGAATAATAATCACCATCAAACTTATACCCATATAAAAAAGAAAAAAACTAGTATTCCGAAGGATTTTGGTTCCATTAGGACCCTCATGACTTTGGAAAAGACACCACTCTTCTCCCTCCCTCCTCCTCCAAGAGCCACACTTACTATATGGTGGGTCACCTGGAATCAGGTATAATTCATCTAAAGTCTCAGAAGTCAATTATAAAAGATTTTCCAAGCTCAGTTATGCTTTTATCCTAAAGAAAGTAACCTAGAAATCAGACTCTAGTTCAGATTCTATATTTTCTCCTGGTATGGAAGGGTGGCTACAATAAACTGCCACTTGGAAGAGGCAATTCACTCCTTGAAGAGGAGGCAGAATGCTGCCTCTATCCCCTTCTCCCAACTAAGGAGGACAAGGAAATGTGTTCTGGAGCAGTTGCATAAACCATGAGTGGAAGAGCAAAAATGAAGTCACCAAATAATAATGCAATACTACCCTTAATTTCTTAAAAGCTTCCCTCTACTCCCCACCTTAAACCCTCAAATACTATCCCCTTCCACATCTACCCCATGCACCAGCAGTTATCCATAGTAAGATATCATGAATTACTTACAAGGAGTTCGACTAAACTCTTGGCACCTTTTCCAGAATCAGGACCAAATGACGTTTCTGTGGATTCTGCAAACTGTGGTACATTTTTCCTGTGTTCAAACCAAGGCAGTGGCTGCCCACCCTTTTCAGAACTGCAACAGCTTTCAGGATGTGCATCTTTGGTCTTGTCACGATGAAACACTGTGTGCATGGTATTTCCTGAGGTCTCTCGATTACCTGGATCTGTAATACAGCTACCAAGCTTTTGGATCTGAAACCACAGCAAAGGATTTTCCAGGTAAAAATGCAGGGAATAATGCAATTATTCTTTAAATAAAAAATAAATGCCCTGACATAGTGTTAAAGTCCTTAGGAGGAATACTGAATAACAGCAGCAGCTGACATTTACTAGGCACTTACTGTGTATCAGATACTATGCTACCTGCCAATATAATCTCACTTCCCCTTCACAGAATCTAATATGATAGGGACTATTATTCCCATTTTGCAAATGGGAAAACTAAGATTGAACAAATTGCATAGCTAATAAATTAAAAAGCTTTATGAAAAGAGTGAATTGGATTTATAAATAATATGGACTGTCGCACAAACGACTACATCTCTCTTTCACACACGTACGCACACACCCACAAGATAAGCAACCAATGGAACTGCATCAAGTA